TGGCCCTGTCATCCAATCTGACGTGCAAAATGGCCCACCACAACCAACACATTGAACACACCCGCGCAGTCACAAACAAGCTGCTGCTGCCGTCGCAGGTCACTCACTCCTGCTCAATCACTGACAGTGGTGCCCGCAGCCAGCGCAGGAAGCGCGGCCACAAGCGCTGCTGCTGCCGCCAAACACTGCTGCTGCCATCTGGCCAGGCTAGCAACTTAGGTAAGGGCGACAAGCCTCGAGCGGCTGGCGACACTGCAGAAGGGGATGTGACCATCCTGAACCAAATGTCCATACACATGACGTTGTTGCCGTTGTCAATGGCCGACATGTGCATCTGGTAGGGACCCGGCGGCGCAAGGGATGGCACCTTATCACTGCTGATGATGGTAAGATTTCCGGGCCTGTGCACACGAGGGGAAAGGGGTGAATTGTAGGGATCATGCCAGCAGCTATTGTTGAGTGGTAAGCTAGAGGGTAAGGAAGGGAGGGCTGGCAGGCAGCAGCACCCAGGATGATGCGCACTCATTGCGCCAACGAATAAATATCGTTTCAGGCCGACCGCGCTCTCTGAGTCTGCAAGTTTGGCAGCCAAAACCACATCCCCCTGTCCCACGCACTCAAAGGGACATGGCGGGTCGACCGGCCGCGCGTCGCCGCAGATGTCGCGCGTGGTCGAGTGGACGTGCCACCCCCGGTAGTAAATTGCCACTGTGAAGGTTGCGGTGGTGATTTCACGGCTGTTGACGCCGCTGAGCTTGATCACCATGTCCTGGTCTCAGTTCACAGAGAGGTGCATGGATGGGTTGGGCAGGTGGATGGACGCGCAAGACGAGGTTGGAAACTAGATAGGGGACGGTATGCTGAAGTGGATTTGGAGGTACTGCGTTGTTTCAAGTAGAACAGTGCTACTAGGGGCACAATCGCCCCGTCCCTGTGCGCCACGCCACCACCCACAATTGAACAAAAGTGGCCGCAGTCCAGGAATGCGTTGGACCATGGCGGCGTACCTGGCCATGCACGGCTGGGTTGGGACTGAGCGTCACGGTGGACACATCAAACACCTGCATGCCGCACAAGAGCATGCGCTTGTGAGGTACAATTGTAGCTCACACGCCGTGTTGTGCGGCTGTCGACGACGTCACGCATGTTGACGCAGGGCGTGCGACGCCCCACACTGCGGGCTCTCTTGCGCTCGTGGAAGCGCGCGCTTTGCCAGCGTGTTGGATGCATAACTTCAATCAACATACGCGTTCGACGGACGCGGTGTTGCTTGCGTGTGCGACACAACCCCGATCTGCCACTCGCACCGGGTTGCTGCCGCACGGGGCATAACGAAAGTCGTCATCAGCAAGGGCAGATTGTGCCACGCAGGCTAACATGAGTGTGCCCCAGGCGCCGACGCAAGTTGCCGTGCGCCGCATGGATGCTTGTTGTGAGCGGCGTGCTTGAACACTGTCCTGCATTCGATGTTAATGCGTGAAGGGTACCGTACAGCATTGGCCTGCAGCATGTCTGCTGTTGTGTTTCCTTGCACTTGTGTGTCACTGGTGTCACCCGTTGACTGGCGTTGATTGACACGAGGGCTGATCAGGAGTGGCCAAACAAACGCTCGTCCGTTCGGTGCAGTTGATAGACCGGGTCCTGGTGGACTGCTGCAAATTCGACAACAAGGCTTTTGTGACGTACACAGACACACACATGCCCGCGCACACACATGGACCCACACACACACGCCCAGCCACGTCTTTGGCTTGGGGACTGCAGGCAGTCGAGGCACGCAGGTATTGCGACATGATGAGGAGGTAGATCTGCTTTGCCCTTTAGACAGGCTGCACCCATGCTCGAAGTGGTTACACCTGACGCTGGTGTCGTTTTATCATGACAGGGTGCTTTGCAAGGCAGCAGCATCACCCAGGGTGCCATTGGTTGGTGCACGGCCGTGCAGAAGACTTCAGGTTTGTTGTTTTCCCCAAGCGTATAAAAGATGCGCACAAGGTGATGTCAAAATATGTCAAAAGCCCTATGCATATGCCAAGCACAGCGCCGCCGCCTAGCTTGCTTATCTGGCCAAGCGTGACAGCCGCGTCGTTCGCAGCTCACAGTTGTCAAAGTCGACGCCGCCTGTCAATGAGTAGAGCACGCCTGCAGAGGCCATCGTGAAGTTGGTATGGAAGGGTGAATGGCAGTTGGTGCAAACGGCAGGTCGTGCAGTTGGCAGTACATGTCTGCTATAACTTGAGCAAAATTCGTGGCTGCCACCATTACCGCACGTCTTGGTCAGACGTGAGTCCCACTCACCCCAGTGCGCCACCACGGCAATGGAGCTTTCAGGCCGCGCTTCCAGCCACGCCAATGCCTGCTCCATGCGAGCCGCAAATACGTCATCAGGCTCCTCCACCACCACTGGCGGCGCTGTGCTCGACCCGCTGCTGCCGCCGATGCCGCTTTTTCCACCGCCGCCTGCATCGCCGTCTGAGCTGCCGCCGCCGCCGCCGTCGCTGTTGCTGCTGCTGTCGTCGCTGTGCCACCACACATCCGGCAGGTGGTCAAACGTGAACTGCGGAAAGTCCCTGGACAGCAGTTCGGGGTGGCGGCCCACGTCGCTGGACAGGTAGAGCCTCTCCCTGTGCAGCGGCAGGGAGAGGCAGCGGCGGTCGCAACGAGAGGCTGAAAGCGATCCCGCAGCCCTGAGTCGGCCTGTGAACCAATCTTGCCGGCAGCCTAGCACCATGCGTTGCATGATAAGGCCTTGCCAACCATGACCTGTTTCAGGCGCTATAGACCGGCAGCGTTGATGGCAGGATGCGTGCGCGATGTGGGCGGCAACAACCGGCAGCCGGTGTGCCCGCCCACCTGAACAGTGGCTCCACCACCACAGAACAAGCCGGGCGCTCGCCAAAGGCCAGCAGCGCCGTATTCAGCGCCCGCGATAGGGGCGACACAACAAGCAGCTGCGGCAGCAGCGGCCCAAGGAGGGAGTGAGGGGGACAGGCTGAAAGCGCGCCCGGGAACGCAGGAAACCCGCGGCTTCTGGATGGCAGGCAAGTTGTGAGGCGCTGCTGTAGTGGATATCCCCACAGCCTCCATGCCTTCCGATGCAACTCTCGGATTTTTCGCACGGGGCTAGAATTTTCCTATCGAGCCTCGATCCCCCGTCAGTTTCACCTCTGGCTTTGGGCTCAGCCGCGCCACGCGCTGCGCTGCGGTCTTGGCGCCGCGAATCCCGGCGGGCGTCAGGGATGTGTCAAACAGCATTGGGTCTACAAACCCTGGCTGCCCGTAGCCCGGCCTGGCCCTGGCCAAGTATACCTGTGGCAGGGCGAACGATTGAATGCGGTCTAGACATCACATGCATCAGTTTGCTCCAACTCGCCACCACCAGATCATGCACCTACGTTCATCTCTGTCGTGCCATGCCTGCAGTGAGATGCGTGCGGGTGGCGTGCCAGGTCAGTGCGCCGAAGGTCACAAACGTTGGCACCCAGCTGTCCGTACGGGGAAGAGTAATAAGCATCTTATGTACAATGCTGCAGTTTAGGGCTTGACCGAGGTGTGTCAGCTGGCTGTGGTCAACATTTGCTGTGGTCAACACTGTTGACCTTAGCAAGCAGTCCTCGACGCCGCGTGCAGCTCAAGCAAAGGCAAGAGCCGCTATTTTGACTCACCTCATCAGGTGTAGGACCTGTGAAAAACGAGTGTGGGTTGCACTGCTGATTAGAGGCACGTTTTGCAGGCAGTTGAGTGGGCATGGTATAACACACGGGAACCCACGTGCACGGTTCCTACCCGTGCTTGCGCTGCACCGTTGCTACGGGCACCATTGCGTAGCAGATCCACATTTCTGATTACTACCATTGCATACAATTGTGCCGTACTACTGTAAGAAGACATGCACGGGACCCGCACCTTGTCGCCGCCAGTGCTGCTCACAGCCCCGATCTGTGTACTGCCAGCGGCACCCATCGCGTTCGTCAATCCCGCCCCTCGCTTCCGCGGCGTGCAGATTGTCACATCTACTGAACGTTTCATACCAATGTCACACTCGATTGCTGATCTTGATCGCAACAAGATCGAGCTTGGGCAGGCAACGCTGACTTGGCGACAGACATCAAAAATTACTAAGAGACTATCCAGTTGTTTTGTGAGAAGGTCTGTGGAATCCGTGCCCGAACGGCCTGTGGCGCCGTGGCCGCTCACTTCCGCCTGCTGGTCTCATCCAGGACACTGACGACGCAGCATCGCAAGGCTAGTATCTTTGCAACGTGTCACTGCCGCCCTGCACGCCCTTTGAATTCATCAAGGCAAGACTAGTCAACAGTCAATCAAATGGAATAGGATGCCCCGCAAGCTGGTGCCTCCGCGCACCGCTACATTACACTGGTGTGGCTGCTTAATTATCCTTTGTCACGCCCCCATGCGGGCACCAGTGAGCACTTCATTAGCGACTCAGGTCACAGGAGTTTACAAGCTGGGCAGGCACGCGAAAGCCAGGCACGAGTGCCTGAAAGAGTGTGTATGTGTACAGCCAATGGCGCTGAAGCTGCAATTTCAGCAGCACCACCACAACCGCATGCCGAGCTGCAAGAGACTTGGGTGGCAGCGGGTGGCTTCAGGCCAATGTGATTGACGTCGTTAAGCCCGATGTTCGCTCGGTGGCAGTGTGTGCGGGGCTGTGTGTATGTGCCATGGCTTCTGGAAGTGAGTGCAGCGCACAGCAGTGCCAGTGTTGCCCGCTCTCGCAGGTGTGTGTGGCGTGTTGCAACACCGCACCAACGCTGCAGGTTGGCAGCGGCTCTCAAGAGCGTGTGTGCCGTGGTGCAAATGGCCTCGCGCTGCACAATCCAGACAGGCGGGTAAATATACGCCTCGAGTTGCAAAGGCAAAAGCAAAAGGCATGGGAACCGCAGCACCAGACGGTGAGCACCAGAAAGCAGCACAGAAAAGCCACAAGGCGAGCAGGCGAAAGGGGGCCGCTGTGGTCCCCACACTACCCTGCCCGCTCACGCCTGCACAGAGACCATGCCGGCAAGGTTCTTGTTGGAGCCGCGCGCGTCCTTGCGCAGCTTCTCCTTGGCTGCCTCGACCACGCGGACCTCCTTCATAGAAAAGTACAGGCCCGGCTGCACCACCAGGTATTCGCTGGACTCCGGGTCGTCGACCCAGCCCAGCGCGCGCAGCGCGTCGAGCGCCCCATGCGCCTCAACAATTGACTCACGGATCTTGGCGTTGGTCAGCTTGATGCGGCGGAACTTCTCCTCGCGCGGCGAAATCGCGGCGTTGTAGAGGAGCTTGCCTATGACGTCGAGCGCCTGCTCAGACTTCACGGCCTGGACAGCAGCCTCCACCTCTGTGGGCTTCGGGGGCGGGTACTTGGCGGACACATAACCAGCATAGCCCATGGGTGCTGGCGCAAGAAATTGAGTAACCGCAAAGGGCGTGGGGGCCTGTGTGCATGAGTGTGTTGACGGAGGAGGAGGAGGGGGGGTTGGTCGGCACCAATGGGAGGAACAGCAGAGCACATGCCGACAACCTGACCCGTCGGGGCGTAACACGGCCACAGCAGGCTGACCGACGCAAACGCACAATACATGTGGCACTATGCATGCCGTCCCAGTGAGGCTGCCGTGCTCAGACGACGCGCGCAACACTGCTTCGCGCCCACTAGCACCTTCGACGTCTCGAGCGAGGTCGAGCAGCACCAGAATCCTTTATGCAAGGTTAAACACCGTTCAGACAAAACAACACTGCTGTTCCTCTAAGTGTGAAGAGGAAGCGCGCTCGTGCACAGCTTGTCCTTGCTACGCCTCAAAGCAAGAGCTGCAAGCCTAGTATGGCTACGGTCAATCAAGAGTGTATATCGATGGCAGGGGCACTACAAGAAGTCGCCCTGGAACGGGCAGGACGAACGGCGGAGCCTGAAGCGAAGCTGCTTGGTGGTATCGATGTATTCACATACCCTCCAAACACGCTTCAATGCAAACCCATGTCCTCTAGCTGCAAGAGCTGTTCAGAAGTTATCGCAGCTGCTGGTCTTGCGCATCCCAGTTTGTGGGGTCGGGTGTCGCAGCTCAAGCTCAGCTGCGGTGCGCACGTCGCCGCCGCACGGTAGCACTCCCTGGCGCAGCCGAAGCACCTTCCCATCTGCATGCCCGACTATGAACTATTGAGTGCACGATTCCAACGTGCCTTCCTGGGTTCCCTGCCTTGACGGCATTGCGGCAAGGTGCCATCAGCGACGAGCGGCGGCCCGCAATTATGGCCAAGGGGCCTGATGATGTGCCCGGCAGCCCGGGCGGCCGCGCGCCTGCAACAAAGGAGGATGATAAGGAGGAGTGCGCGTGGTGCAAGTACATGAAGGCCGGTGGCTGCCGGGAGCCGTTTGAGGTGCGCAGCGTGTGGGGCAGGCTGCCACCACTGGAAACTGCACAGGACAGGGGTAGCCAGTTGCAGCTAGGCATGCGTGCAGGTTGGAAGGAAACAAGGGCAGCTGGAGACGGAAGATGGGAAGCTGGCGGTGGGATGCAGGAGGCTGGAGGCGGGAGGCGGGGCGCCACATAAGTGTCGGTGTGCCGTCCAGGTGGTGCTCCTGCCTGCGTTGCACCTTGTGCATAACACTACGAAGGCACGGCGCCGCCCGACATGATGACAGGATTGTTGCGTTGCGAACCTCAGGAGGGTTGTTGTTGGCCAAATCCTACCTGAACAGTAGCCATCATGCATGCATGCATACCTTCAGCCACCCATATGCACTCCCCTCCAGGCGTGGCAGGCGTGCGTTGATGGCGTGATGGGGAAAGCGATGGATGACGAGGCGCGCAAGGCCGCCGTGGACCAGTGCAGCAGCGTGGTGGGTGCTGCGACCCTTTCAAGTTTGTACTGCTACTTCTGGTGCTCAATTGCGTGGTTTGGCGGCTGCCACCGCAGGTGTGGTGCAGAACAGGGCCTTTTGTGGGGACTCACGCAACGCGACGAATGCGCTTGCCCTCACACGTGAATGCTCGCACCCGCGTTGTTGCCCGCAGACGCAGCCGCTATTTGAGTGCATGATGCGCCACAGGGATTACTACGGCGCACAGCTGTCAGGCATGGGCGGCGGCGGCGGTGGCGGCGGCGGCGGCGGCGGTGGCGGCAGCGGCGGCAGCAGCAGCGGTGGGAGTGGGAGCAGCCGCCCAGCGGACGCGACTGCTGCAGGGGTCGGCGGCGGCAGCGCGACAGCGCTTGCGGGTGCAGTGAGCAGTGGCTCTTCAGTTTTGGGTGTGGCAGCATCTGGCACGAGCTAGAGCCATTGCTGGGGCAGGCTCCGAGGGCTGTGTGTTTGCGTGCACTGCAGTCTGTTCACGCACAAATCATAGTAAAGTCTCATAGTCATTACTAGAGCCTCTACATGTGCGACTGCCTGTACCAGCGGCGCTTGATCTACGCAGATCCTGATTTGAAACCGGACCATGCCTCTCTTCACTCAGCCATGGACGTGCGCGCCAGGCACTCGCTCAGCACCGCCCATCGGGCGTAGCGGCGCCCGATGGGCGACACTGACAGTGTTCAAGGTTGCCACACTCAACACTGTCAATACTATTGGAGTTGCCAAGCCTTCTTTCCATGCAGTGGTGGGTGCTGTGCCCCATCCTGTCGTGGTAGCCAGCGGCATGAGCAAGCAAGTGAGGAGAGCTACGGGGCGGCTGCAGTCACCATGCTCGTGCCGATGCTGCTTGGGAGCTTCATCATATAAATGGTGCATGAAATGTTTGTTTTTCATCAGTTTCTACTCTCCTCTAAGTTCGTGGATGCGAATAGCTCGCTCGCAACACGCAACCCCGCTGTCGTATAGTGGGTCCGCGTCACAGGGCATCGCTTCAAGACGCGACCATCGTCGACGACCCAACAGCACTTGCCGGTGAGATCTTACAAGTTGAGGGGCGTTGGCCCGTGTTGGTGGGTGTTCGGCGCATGGCGCCCCGTGCGTCCGAACCATCGGGCGCAACAGGCAGCTGCCCGGCGGCATCTTGATCCTCATGTCATGGCATGTGAACAACAGTACACGCCGCATTCAACCTGGCAATTTGACCAAGCATGCATCTTTTCATGGCCCACGATGGACAACGTGCACCCACAGAGCCCACCATTGATGGCACTGCACAGCACGCGGCTGGCTGAGAGCAGGGTCACTTTCAAGCGAGCTGGCAGGGCAAGTGGCTGCACCTTCACTGGCCTTCCAGGATCAGAGGACCCGTCAACAGCAGCCTGCATTGCCAGCATCATCATCAAGGCTAGCCCCAGCGGTGTGATGGCAGGTGGGGACATGACTGGGTGCGAGACAGGAGGGATGGATCTCGCTTAGTGGTTGAGCCGAGCGCTGCCGGGCAGCCCTCGAGCTTGGGCCGCTCTCTGTGGCCGGCCATCGACCACCTCCACGGCCAGTCACTCCTGCCTGCACAAGGAGTCAACGTCCACCCCACCGCCACCATTATCCCCATCCAGTGGTTGGCGCCGCCTACTGCATCGGGGGCCGCACGCGCTTGACCGTGGAAACAGGCCGGATCAGCCCCTGCAGCGAGAACGCCTGGCCTCGGCCCGTGCAGACCTCATCAGGGGCTGCTGTGTTCTGGTGCGTGACTGCATGTGTGCAGCCGTGCCTGCATGCGCTTGATTGCCAAGCAACCACCTCACGTGTGCCTGAAAGTGCTGCTGCCGTGCTGCTGCACATTGTAATGCGACGCCCTGCCTTGTACTCCACCTCGCCCATAGCAGTGGCCCCTGCCCTGAGGCCACTCCAACCTCGCCCAGGGCAGTGGCCCCTGCACAGTGCCCTTGGCCACGCTTGAACACAGTGCCAGTGCTGCCCCTGCTCCTCACTGCCCCAAACACGTCTCCTGTTGCCCGCGTGCACGAACAGGCAGGAGGCCCGCGCTTCCAGTGCCCGCCAGAAGCGTGTGCTGCGCGATCACCGTGGCAAGGCCGTTGCGTGCATGGGGCTCGTGGTCGGATGCCTTCGGCCTACCTGGGCGCTGTACCGTGGGGGCCACCTGGACGAGGACAACCGCATGGCCACCTTTGTGGGCCAGCTCTTCAGCGCCGAGCCAGGTGGGCAGGGCCCCACTGCAATCAAACACATGCGCACACACGCACACACACGCCGCCGCCGGCTAGTCCAAGCTCTACGTGGTTGACTCACGGACGCTGTGTGCCTCTTGCCCTGCTCTGCGCCTGTGCGTCCAAACGCAGACAGCACCCTGAACCATGCCCGCTCCAATCCCCCCCATCTCCTGCTGTCCCATCTGCCAGCCGTGAGCGTTTACCTCCAAGGCTCTTCTAGCGCCAGCACCTTCAAGATCCGCGGAGAGCTTGGCGCCAGCAGCTTCCAGGTCAGCATGAAGCTGCCCGACGGCCGCGAGTTGGCCGTTGCGGCGGCCGAGCGGCGCCAGCAGCCGGTGTCGCGTCAAAACAGCCTGGGGGCGTCCTCTGCGAGGCTGTGCACGTACGACGTGCTGGTGGAGTCGGGCATGGACGCAGCGTTTGTGACGGCGGCCTGCATCGTGATCGACAGCATGTTCAACCAGTCACACAAGTACCAGGAGTAGGCTGCGCATGTTGGGCCCTGCTGCCAGGGACCGATGCATCAGCGAGCGCAATCAGAGCTGGAGACCTAGGCCGAATCGTCTCGCTGCAAGGTCGCATCGGCGGGGTACGGTACATACCCTGCCGCATCGCCATTCGCGCGGACGTGCGGGACTGCAACCTACCCAGGGGGCCATCATTGCGTATGGTGTAGTACCCAGGGGGGCCAGCTTATGCCCATGGCGAGCGCCTTTGCTCAAGCATACTATGCTTGAGAGGTAGTACTACTCCTGATGACGTGTCATTTAAGCTGCGCTGGCGAGGGGGTTACGCATACAGCCAGCACGCTGGAAAGCGCTGTTACCTCATCAACACCTTTCAAACGCCATCATTCCACCTATTACGCCTACTACTGCCTGTGCCCCGGGAGGGAGCACAAGTATACACAAGTATACGTATTATGCTCCACCACGCCTTCCTCACTGCTGACTGGGGTGTGAAATAATACATACTATTTTTGGGCTCATTTCTTGCTGATCAAGAGCCTCTCTTGGGCGAGGAGTTGGATGCAGTATTACTCATCCCTTCAAACATACGCTCACACAGAACCCGGGCAAGAGCGAGCTCACAAGCGCCCTGCTGGCTGCGCTGCTGTTAATTACATCACGCACTATGTGAGCGTGCTGCATCCAAGACTCGATTGAGCAGATCACCTCACACAAAGCGCCGCACGGCAAACACATCGTGCACGTCTGTTGGCTGAACACGCTCAAGGCACCAGCACCGCATCCGCGACCGCCGCCCCTCGTGTGTGCCTTGAAAACCCGTGAGATGTTGTCTTGTTGGCTTCGAGCAGAAGCCTTGGAAAACGGGCCGACGTCAACGGTCAGTCGTACAGCATGAGAGCTTGACTGCTTTTGCATTTGGGAGCGCTCGGCAGCACGCTGACTGAGCCCTGCAACTTGACGGTGTGGATTGACCTTGGCACAGACATCACGCCCCACGCAATTGTCAGCCTGATCCTCCTTCTACTACTATTACATTTCAAGTTTTTGAATGCCACATGCGCACAAACCGAAGGCACGCTGCTACCACAAAGGCCTTGCCTCACACTCAAGAAAGTGCATGAGCAGGCACCCTCAACTTTGGGCCAAAAATGTAATCTCGCGAAAAAAAAGCATAAACTCGAGGGCCAAACAACTGAATGGCTCTCAAGGGCATGCATGCAAATGCTCGTGCAGTCAATATCATTTGAAGGTCAGGTTTCCACTTGTGTTTTTCACCTCAAGCTGCAGGTGCTAATTGATTGGCGTACTGGGCGGCTCTGCTGCACCAAGGCGCCACCCAACAAATTCTCTCTTAGCCAGCGTCCTCCCTCTCCCCGTCTCCCGCCATGCCAGCCCCTCCGCCGGCGGCGCCGCCATCGCCGCACACAGTGGCCCGGGCGCGCCGCCACGAATCGTACGCCCCAAATTTTGCCTCAAACGCGGCTTCGCGGGAATCAATCAGCGTCTTGAGGGAGCCCGCCGATCCCTGCAGGCCAGAGCTGCGGAGGAACAGCAGCCGATCCAGTCGGGCCTGCGAACGGATGAGGAGAGACGCCACCGTCGCAGGCGCAGCGGCGTCCAGCTGCGCGCGCCACGGTGGGTGGGAGTCGGCCGCCTGCGTGTGGCGCCGACAAGGAGGAGCAAACGGCAGTGTCACACGATGAAGTTATCACTGAGTGGATAAGAAGCGGAGCTTGTGATGCACTGCCGCACCCATGCATGGTGTCTGGAACCATTAAAGATGTCCCTGTCATGGCACGGCCCGACTGCCCCAGACAGCCCTCGGCAGAAGCCGCAACGCACCTCCTGCAACGCCCGCCACCGCCCGCCCAAGACGGCCGGGTCCAGGTTGAGCAGCGCCGGCATCGACAGCAGCGCCCGCGTGGCGCGCTCGCCCCCCAGCCCCTGGAGCGACCGCAGCGCCGCCGCGCGCGCGGCGACCAGCTCTGGGCGGCGGTTGAGCAGGGAGGGCTGGCGCAGGAAGGCTCGGCACGCAGAGTGCCAAGGGACCTGGCGGTGGAAATTGGGAGGGTGTGACCATGAATCTGCACCAGACCGAAATCAGCGAGTCCTGCCTGGGACAAAGACTCTGCATGCGCACGCGGCGCGTCCGCTCGTGACCGGCGGTGTTCCGGGGCGGCTAGAGGGGTGCGCAGCTGAGGGGGTGTCGAGCCAAGCCGCCCGACCTCAGCTGCGGGGTAGCTACCCCCCGCTCATGAAGACGAGGCAGCCTGTGATCCACAGCGTAATCTAAAACCCAAGGGCGCTCCGTCCGCCAAAGAAAGGCAAGCACGCGGTGCTGTGCCTGCTGATCTGCTGATGCAGCCCCACGCGCGCGCGCGCGCCCCACAGACAACCGCCCACCCCCAGTGCCGCCTGCAGCGCTTCCAGGCGCTCGATGACGAGCGTCTCGCGCAGCATCAGCCACCGGTGGTCGCGCTCCGCCGCCTTCTGGACATCCACCATCGTGAACGTGGCCCCCGCTGCGCCGCCGGCGCCGCCGCTGCCGCTGCTAGTTTCAGAGGCGGGCAGCTGCGCCTC